GATCTAATTAATTAATTTGTCAAATTTAGCCAGATTCATTCAGCTAGAAAAACTACAGGAACTTCTGGGTGGAAAACTTTAATAAGTTTAAAAGGAGTAAATTAAACTCTTTTAAAATTAAGAAGCTAGTAGAAAAAGTTGAAGTTCAACAACATTAGCAATAATAGACTCCTCTACGGGCTTTCAGATTCTTTGTAAGAGTACCATCACTTCTCTTCATTAACAAACTGTCCTGTTCCTTTTCTAGACCAGAGCTAGCACATCCGTGTGACCATTTCTAATGAGATACGGGATAATACTGCAAGGACCAGACTTGCTTGTCAGCCACTGCCTGATGGGTTTAAGGTAAGAAATGATCCTTCATTAATTAACCGTCACTTTCTATGTAGATTCACTCATTGAGATGCAGGTAATTAAACCAAGGTCATTTCAAGGACCAACAGAGGAAAAACAGCAATGCAGAGGTGGTGTGGTTGACTTGATAGAGGGCTTTCATTACAGTTGTGTAACAGTTTCAGATACAAAGGTGGCCTTTTTGGAGACAAAGAAAACCACCCTCTTTTTTAACATGTCACCCCAAGGCTAAATAGGTTTTGGACCTAACTTCATAGATTTTGCCTGGCTTTCAGAACAGATTAGGAAAAGAAAATGTCAGTAAACTCAAGAAAATTCAAGATAAAATAATAATATATGGAACAAAGGCAGGCATGGACTTATTGGGAGGGATTGACAGTGATTGAAATATCCCTGCAAAAAAGACTCTCAATCTTGTGTCTCATTTTAAAGTGATATTCACCAATTGTAAAAGAACTACTTCAGTCAGAAGACTTTACGTAGAAAATGGAAGTGTATTTGTCTCAGTGTTCAGATTCATTTCATTGACTTAACCCTTACAGATGCAATGATGTGAGCCTATTGAGAGCTGTGCAATGCAAGCAGCCGCTCACCCATTCACAGGTATAAGACTCCAATTATGAAACTGCTGAAGCTTGGGGGTCAAATAGTGGGGTTTTTGCAGCTCCTCCAACTTAGCTCTTACACCAGTCCAAGACATGTGAAGTTCCAAACTTTGATCCCTGTTGAGAGCAAAGCAAATATATTGAACCTGCAAATACCCTTTACCTCTTTCCAGGTAGTTCCCTTATAATTTGAGTGTTAGTTTAAAGTTTTACACTATAGATTTTAATAATGATCTTCCATCTGGTTTGCTGAGTACCACTTGCTGTGGATTATATGACCTACTCACTAGCATGTCCTATTATGAGCACTTAAACTTGAAAGTGGTAAAGACAGAACACTTAACCTGTTAAACACAGAATCGGAAGTTTATATAATACAATATGGTTTAGCCCTTCTAATATTTTCCATTTATTAAAATAAATTTTACTGAAAACTTTCTTCTCGTGAGAAGGAAAAGAAATCATGGAGATTGAAAAATCTCTATATTGAGTTGTAGTGAACAAATTATTTGTTGAAATATATACATGGATTTGTTTCAGTTAAGGCCTTCAGTAATCATCAGTGTGGTAAGTGATCAAGGGTGATTTGCAGATCGAATGGGATTTTTAATAAAAGGAATGATCTTGCTGCAACAGACCTGAGAACGTCCTGACTGGCTGGCAAGGGGGAAAGGACTTCAGTGCCAGGTTGCAAGAAGTACTGTCTCAAGGCAACTATTAAACTGGAATCTTATGTTACCATGACAACTGTTGAACTTTCGTCTTTGTTTAAGCTTAGACCTGAGTGTAAAAGAGATCAGTTTTGTAATTTACAACTTCACAGCTCCTTGTTAACAAATGCACAGCCCCCATTGTTATGTGACCCAAAGCCTGGCTATGTGCTCAAACCCACAAACCGACCTTGAAGCTAGCGCCAGCCTTAAAAATGTTCTAATAACAAAAAGAAGCCGAGAGCCGTGCTGAAGATGCCAAAACTGACCTCCGTGAGGATAAAAGGGCTCTGTTACTTGTCGGAATTTGCGAGCCTTGGGTAGAGCTGCGACTCCCCGGCCGCCCAGCGCGCTGATTTTTGCTTTCCTACCTTAATAAATGCTTAGTAAATTTATTTCGGACTCTAGTAATTTAATTCAACTATAACAATCAGTATACTAAACTTCTACAAGCATGGATATGCAAAGCACAAAATCTAGTGTTAACAGTTACGCAGGGATACTAGGTGTAGATGTGAATGAATTTGAAATTATTTTTCCAAAATACTCCTGATAGGTAAATATTATAGTAGAGTTACTCATACAGACATTATCCACACATCAATCGTAGCTTGTATTGTGATACTTGAGTGCAGAACGTATAAAAAAAGTGAAGAGCATTCAGAAAATCACTATCTCCTCATGAAAATTCCTCAGCTAGGCAAATTGTTTTCATTATGAAATTAAAAATAAATAAAATAAAAGCTTGTAAAAAATAGGCAATCATTCACTACAGAAGAAAAGATCTGTTAACACATAATATACTAATCATGGTGTTTAAAGCTGTGCTAGAAAGTTTTTATGGTGAATAGGGAAATACACAATTCTATATAGATTACAAAAGATTTATTCATTCTAATTTTAAGATAATTGATGTTTGGACAAAGAGATTTTTTTTCTGTGCCATTTTACCATCCACAGCTGGTTCTGTACCTTTAAAACAACTGACTTGAGTAAATAAAGGTGTAATATTATTGTAATTCACCCTAGAATCCATTTTAAGATGATCAATCCTTGTAACCTGGTCTTTTATAATCTATAACTCCTTGAGAAAAGTTTTACATATCACTTTTAAAATGGAGGTAGAGAGTGAGATCATAAATTAAATACCAAAATCTGACTGTCCAATAATCTCAGCCTAAGTTTTAATTTTCCATAAGGAACCAACACAAAAATGATGCAGATGTCCTGCAGCTGGAGTAACGTGTACCGCTCCTGAACATGCTTGACACACAGTGTAGTTCAAGACAGTGGAATCGGTTGATGCCATGAGGGATTTCCATTTTAGCCTTCAAAACCAAACACTTTGTAGATGGGTTTGATAACAAAAATACACGCAGTTGCATTTCAGATACACACACACAGAGTTACTGGCGTTCCAGCACGCAGTGGGCACCAACTCAGTTACGCTGACTTGTACACACCAGTATTACAGAGTTGCTGAGCAGCCGTGTGCCAATGAGAACTGCATTTGGCATGCACATTGCACCTGAATTACAAGAACTGTAAAACGAGCAATTAGAACTGCATGTCATTTGGAAATTTGAGTTTTCAGCACCACTACCATCTTTCCCAGGAAGGCAACACTGTCAAAATGGGGGTTTTATGCAAAGCTTTAAGAAAAAATGCCTAACAAACTAAAAATATGAAGTCAGCTGAACCTGAATGGAGCTCCAATTACAACATTTTTTTTTTTTTTAAAGCTTTTGAGAAAGTGTTTGAGCTTAATTAGGTTAAGCTATTTCAAAGCATGCCCAGTTGTAATTTGTTTATGATACAGAGTTGCTCTTTGATCATGAATGTTCATTTTTATAGAAACCCTGTTATCAGTCTCAGGATAAGAAATGAACAGTGTTTGTGCTAAGAAAATTAGAAAAGTTTAAGCTCAGAAAATAGCTGTTATTAATAAAAGAAAGACTGCTTAATTTAGTGTGTGATGGCAGTAGGGTGAGCAAGTTATTTTTCAGGAAGGAAAGGGAAACTGACGTGTGTACACTTACACATCCCACCGAAGATATGGTACCCATTGGAGTATCTTTAATAAACTGGTATCTAGTCTGAGTTTGAACTTCGCCAGTTCTTGGGTAAAGCACCTATAATATCTGCTCACAATTTCTATCCTTTGAAATCCTTCCATTCATTCTCACAGCAAAAGAAAACAAAGCATTCTCCAGCCTTGAAATTGCTGTTTGATTCTGGTATTTTTAAGAGATTTTACCAGAAAGGTGAAAAAGGTATAATATAGTGTAAGTGTCCCTAAGAAAATACTCTGGCTCTTCATTTTTAAAGAACAAACCTTTGCTGTTGTTGGAAGTAGGTAATAAGAACATACTCGGCCCATCTTTATTTAAAAGCATGACTCTATATTAGAGGCTGTAGGCTTGCCTTTTCAGCTTATCTCTCTTCCCTTTTTAGTTTTTGTTTAAATCTTTTACGTTGTAAGATGGTTGCATTAGCTGCACAGTTTTCTAGCTGAAGATCATCCAAAATACATGAATACATCCTTGGCCTTTGGGAAGGGCTGTATTCACAGAGCATTTAAATGAGTTTTTTCAGATATTGCATGAAGATATTTTTACACTCATAGGGGAGTAATGCAGATCTGTCTGAGCTTCCCTGTACCAGCAAAGCTGTCTCTCTCTGGAACATGCCACAGAATGGGTAAGAGCTTCATGTGCAAAAATCAAAAGTTTTAAGACCATATTTTAAAACTCTGTTCAGGGGGTTTTTTTATGCAGTTGATAACATGAGTTGCCTATATGCATCCTGGCACATCCAGGGATGCTGTGGTTGGTCATGTCTGTACGATCTCACCTGAATTATGCACATACTAGTCACTGACGCAGATTAGACACGCAATATTTGTACGCTTTAAAAATGTAGGTCACCTTCATGAATAAAATTTCCGGACAGTGGCCTAGCTTGTCTTTGCCAGGCTGAGCATGCTGTTAGCCTGGCTCCACTCTGAAAAACTGTAACACGTGCAGTGCAGTAGGTTAATGACTGCATGAGTGAAACTACTGTTACCTTCCCAGCTGAAGGTTATCAGCTTTGACAGCATTTGCTGATGTCCAGTGAACCATAAGCCATATTCTAAGAGTACTTATCACTTTACTGTCTTACCGCCAAGGCAATTCATGAGCAGTTTGTGAGGAAAAAATGTGAGCTGGGCTGAGGAGGACGTAGGAAATTTTGGAGGGAAAAAGAAAAGTATTAGGCGATGCTAACTCATCAAAATAGGCCATGAAATAGGCCATAAAAGAGATGAAACAATAAGAGAGGCATCATAGTAGAAATAACTATAGCACCATCCATGTCAGGCTGGTACGCTCTCTTCACTCGTTCCCAAACCTGCCTGATTTCAAAGCAATCTTTGACATTTGTGCTCTGTTAGAACACTTCTTGCCAAGAGATCACTGTATAGTTTCACAAATATTATTGAAGTCTCACACAGTGCCTGTGAGGTATATCAGTAAAGTTATGTCATTTTTTCACATGAGTAAATTGCAGCATAGAGAAGTGATTTTTTTTTTTTTTCTTGTTTTCCCTGAGACCAGAAGCAAGATCCCAAGAGTCCTGGCTCCTCCATCCTGGTTTTATAACTTGTACTGCACTGCCTCTGTTTTAACAGAGTCCTGGTAAGTATTTTTGGTGCATTAAATATCATTTCTGTTCATGGGTCAGATGTGTCTATACTTGGTGCTAGTCCCTCTGCATTAAAAGACAAAGAGGAGGTGCTGCTCAGTAGGATTACAGTTGCTAAAGTTTTACCAATAAGCCTGAAATATTCTTTAGTAGTTAGTGTCTGTTCTTACCTTGATGGCAGCAGTGTAGACAAATATTTGGAAAATCACTGGTAATACAGAAAGGTTGAAGGGCTTTCCATATTGCCCCGCTCATTAATATTATGTGATGCCTCATCCTGAAGGAAAGCTGTGATTTCTTCCAGTAAAGAGAGTCCAAAGACACTTCCATCCACAGAGCAGGAACTTGTGAGCATCTGAACTGTAGTTCCTATGAGGTACAGCAGTGCTTCCCACAGCTACAGAAATGCGTATTGACCAGAAATAATACATTTTGCATTAAATAAAGTACACATTAAGTGAAACGTTTTTATCTGGTAATGTAGAGAGTTTATTTGTAGAGGTTTGATGGACAATGTCATGGTCCTAATCAAAAAAAAAAAAAAAAAAGCTTAATAGATTTACTTTTGAAAAGCAAAGGGCTAAGCACTAAGATTTTCTGGCTAAAAATATAAAACCAGTCATTCTGTGGAATGTATATTTACAATCAGTCATTAGAAATATAGAAAGGACTGAAAAAAATTATAGGGGACTAAAGATTGACTCAACGGATAGCTAAATATTAAATATTAACAGTGTTCATAAGAATGAAGGAAATTGCAAACAGCTTGCCAAACTGAATTGTCCAAAATGACTGACTGAATCAAGAAGTTAAACATCCTTGGGCAAAGCAAACTACATACCAGCAAAGGTCATTACTGTTTCCTCATAGGCTTTAGCTCTTTCACTTTGCAATTGAGCTGCGTTTTTTAAAATAGTTTCAGCATGCAGACTTAAAGGTCTGTGTTAAACAGAGAGGCTTTGAAACCCATTCCTTCTAGCAGCTGTTAATGAATACTAGCAGGTTATTAGGATGTTACTGGTAGCAGCTACCTGTGTGATACTCTGTGTGAAGGCTACACCAGCCACACAACGGTTAAAGATCAGAGGTTTAATTAGCTGTGTTTGACTGGGCTTGCCTTTAGGCCTCAGAAATTAAAGGATTGGAAGAAGAGCAAATGGAAGGCTCTTTTTTTGTCTTCCATGGGGGCAGTTTCCGAATGCTTGCCAGCATGCTGTGCACTGCATCTATGCTGTTGTACCTGTCACCATCCCGTTGCTGTTTCAGGTTGTGGCAGTAGAATTAATTTCCTTTATTATATCTGTATTCTGTTGGTACAGGATTTGGTAATAAACTAGAACTTACAGGAAACGCAGAAACTAGCAATCACTTTCCTGGTACGTAGGTAAACATGAATCTATATTCAGAGGTCTGCTGACAATATTTCACAATATTGCGTATTTTCTGCAATTGATTTGAGCAACAGGAACAGTAAGAGTATAACTGCAGCTCAAGTACCCTGTTCACAAGATGATAGTGCACTGTTAACTGAATCAAAGCTAAGACTAAGCGCTACTTGAAGCTTATTACCATTCAAGTGAGACCAGTTAAAAAGCAAGCACCAATTTAGAGGTAGTGACCTTGAGCTGTGAGTGTTGTATTATCAGGTGCAGCTGAACAAGGATTTGGCTCAGCTGAGGGGTAGCCACGAACTCACAGTAAAGAAATCATAAGTAACAAGCCACTGCATGAGAGGCTCCGTCTGCCTTGCTTTCAGTGCTCGTTCCCCATAAAATCAGAAAATTGATAGTAAATGCACAACATCTTATTGTCCATGGGTGGTTAGAGAATTCCAAATTGAAAGGGGCTGAGGTTATTCTTGCTTAGCAGATGAAATGCTAACTATATTTCAGTGCATTTGTGTATAGCAACGGAAAACATAATTTATCTGGGATGTCAGGAATTACATTGCTTTTCATTAACCTTATATAATGTTATGAGGCTTTGCTCTACTACTATGTAGGTAAATGTACTGTTGATTTCCGTGCACATGTATAGATACAGAATTAAGGCAGTGTTGGAGATTCCTCAGAACCTTGCTAGGAGAAGCCTGTTAAAAGCTTATAGCAGGTATTTATTTTATGTTTTAAAAATTCAATAGACTCCAGTTAATCTGTGCTCTGGTAATCCACAGAATAGTGACTGAGCCAGGCACTTAGCTGGTGTAATGTAGTGAAGCTCTTCTGAAAGCAACAGGCAGGCTGCTGCACTAAGATATAAGAGGCTTAGGCTCAATTCCCTAATTTACCTCAGATCTCTTGTGGAATCTTGGGCAAGTTCCTTATATCTAGATGAAAAAAAAAAAAAGTTTACAGGCATTGAAGAAATTTCGAATCCTGACAATGCTCATACTTCCTACATGATGTGTAAGGAGAGCAAGGCTCGTTAAATGGAATGCAAAATAAAACCCAAGGCTCAGCATTGTCACATAAATTCTATATGGCTATAAGAAGCCAATTTTACAAAAGAAGGCCTAACCCTGCATATTTCCAGTGAGAGTCCTCTGGTACTGCTTGCATCAACAGTGAAGCATCTAGTTTCTTACTGCTCCTGAAGACAGGTGTGCATGGGGGGCCAAGCTAATCATGACAAAAGACTTTGTGGGCAGGCATGGAAACAAAATTTTCCAGCCTCTGGTCAAGCCACAGCTGAAGGCGTGTTTCAAGCATCAGATCTCTGGAACTAGGCATCAAAAGAGGGACTTCAGAGAAATTAATGACTCTAACATTTAATCTTTCCATTGTAGCTTCACGACCTCAATATGGAATTGGAAGGTAAATGCATTAAGGAGTATAACGCATTCAGTTACTGGAGCAGTGGGGACCATATAAGTAGCTAAAATTAATAGATGCTGTCATTTATAATTGCTGAGAGTTCGAGCACCAGAGTGCATTTCAAGTGAGTATGGTGGGAAGGTTTTGAGCTCTTGAGTTGATAGTCTGATCTCTGATCCATACAGGCAGAGCTGCCTGGGGGGCCATTGGATGGAGATGTGCCAGACTATAAAGGTCTGCCCTGCAGACAAGACTGCAGAATAGGCACCTTCCTAGCAGTGATGCAGATACAGGATGTAGATGCTCTGTAAGCAAGTGGTTGAGTGAGCAGTGATGTCAACGCCTTTTTTGTAGCTTTGTGTTTCAGTTCATGATGAAAGAAATCTTTATTGTGGACACAGTTCCAGGAAAAGTGGATGAAAAATATTTTAGGGACCAATTCTGTCATAAGAAGGGGTGGAGAAGTGGGCCTAGTAACAATTTGAGAGGCAGGAAACAAGCAGAAGAAAATATTAAATCAAATGAGAAACGTATGGCGGGTCTTCTGTGAAATTAGAGAAATGTTTGGAGGCAAATTCTGCGGAATTACCACAGGACAAGTTATTAAGGAAGGTGAGTATGTGAGCATGAGTGTAGTACAATCAGGAAACAAGTTTCATGCTTCCTACTTGCAAGATACTGCTTTGTCAAATGACATCTCACCATGAATTGAAAAGTTAGTATTTGCTCTCTGTTACTTTTGATGCTGATAGCATTTTCTCCGGCCTCATCTTCTTCCGCTCTTCACATTTGACCAAGGACAGGTATTGATACCCACTGTGACTATTCAGGAACATTTCCTGACACTAAATCTCACTTTGAGAGAAGTGTGGCAGTTTACAGTTGAGTTACGTATGGCTGGATCTCAAATCCTCCTTTAAGCAGGACTGCCAAAAGACAGTGATTTGTCAAGTGTGCCATCAGGAGCCCAGCATTGCCCTTGGAGATGAGAGCAACCTGCACCTGGCATTAGGCTTTCCACAGAACAAAGCATCTCTGGGAGAGCTCCAGCCATCTTAACCTGGTCCTTCTGTACAAACCAAGCAGAAAAGGCAGAGAAAAGGTTACTGTCCCACAGCTGGCATGTTTTCTTTATTCATTGTATGTGCTGTGAAACTGCACAAAGTCCCTACCAAAATCAGCATGAACTCTGCTAGGCATTCCCCGTCTCTGTAACGGGGATTGTTCAGGTGGGGAATTCCTGTCCAAACTGGTGGACCTGAGCAGGCATTTGCACTGTCCAGCATGTGTGGAACGAGTCACTCCTTCTCCCTGTGACCTCTGATACCTACTCCTGGCAATGCAAATACCGCTGCGCCTTCCTCTCCCTGCCAGGACTGTTGTTCTGCAGCTAGCCAGAACAAACATGGACCGCGACAGAGCAGGAACCAAGTTTAGGTTTGCTGGATCCTAGCCTGGTTTCACAAAGGCTGCTTTCATGCTAAAATTCAGCAATGCGTTTCAGAAAGCAGCAGTGCAAAACCTCTCCGGGCTGACAGGTCAAAAGTAGAGTTTGGCTCAGAACTCCATGTGTTTTTTCAAGCAGAGGTATGTGTACAATTTAGCAGTCTTTCTGTTCAGGAGATCAGAATTAGGGAGTGCACGTAAATGAGTGTCATTGCAAGGAAAATGAGCGTCCTGAATTAGCACAGAAGACGGAGGAACTCTTGCTTGTTTTCAGAACCAACTACATTAGTAAGTAGCAACAGACTTGGTTCAACAGTCTGGTATGGGAAGACCTCTGACATATTGATCATGGTGAAAAAAGCAGTTCCTGGAGGCTTTTCCTCCCAGCTGTCTCCACAACAAACAGTTTAAATAATTAGAATGCTCTTCTACTGCATTGAATATTTCAGTCAAAAATTCCTACGTTGCTGACATTGGTGTGTCATTAGTCACCAATAGCTGTGGTGAAAACTCAAGTATGGACAAGCTGAAATTTCCAATTTTCCTACAGGACACGTGCTCTCTGTTAGAATGAGCATGCACTGTACATCCAAAACTGTTCTCTGCTTTTGGAACTACCAGTGGGATTCCTGCAGTGTGTGAACTATACCTTTTAGACATAATGAGAATTGTTTCACACAGCATTAAATTACTGGTAGCTGCATAGCCCTGTGAATGCCAGTGCTCCGGCTCCC